GGCGCGCGCGCGCGCCGGGTTTCCTTGGGCCTCTCAGACCATGTGCTGACCCGGGGGGTGATGAAAAATGAAACGCAGCGAGGGTGCTCTCAGCTCCGAGGCTGCCAAGGCCGCGCTGCCATTGGAAATTGCGGCGGCCCTGGATCGCGGGGAGTTGGCCCTGGCAGCCAGTCTGATCGCCGGCAGCGAGCACCAGAAGCTGGACACGGCCGATGGCTCAGCCTCACTGGGAGGTACAGACACGATGCTTCAGCCGCTTCGCCAGCGCCTGCTGGCGGCCCTGTCGCAACGCCTACGCGAGACGCTTCTCCTGTCGGCCGAGGCGCTGGACCGGCCGCTGGCTGTGCAACCTGGCGACGCGCTTGCCGACCCATCAACCGGCGCCAGCCCCACCCCAGGCGCCGGCCGCCTCGCCACACCACAAGCCCTGATCCAGGATGCGGCATTGGCCTATCGGTGCCTGTCGGCCCGGCGCCCCGCCGTCGATGCGGCCTTCATCAGCCCGTACACCCAGTTCCTTGTGGCGGTGGCGGCGGCGCGCGCGGCACCGGCAACGAGCGCCTGGCGCCAGCTGGTGACCCAATTCCAGGCCCGCGGGCCGGAGTCCCCCTCCGCCACGCCGCTGCTTGGAGATGCCCTGGCTGCTTGGCTTTTGGGCCAGGTGGCGCCAGGCGGGGCGGTTCCCTCTCTGGCTGCCTGGCTCCAGGCGTCCGGTTTGCTGCCGTCCCCTCGTCGGGATGCCTCCGCCCTGCCTGCATACCCGGGAATCATTTCCAGCTCGCCGATGGACCTGCCCGCCGAGCACTCCCTGCATGACTATTGCATGGCCTTGTTGCGATATGTCTTCCACTCGACGGCTCCGGCGACGGCCGGTCTTCCCCCCGGGGGCGAGGTGGAGTCTGTGGCCCCGGCCTCCGGCGGCCTTTCCTTCTCCGACCTGGCCGCCAAGTTGGACATTGTATGTTGAGTGCCGCCGTGCCATGCTGCTCGTGTGCCTCGCCCTTCTTTTCGAGGCTCCTCCCCGCTCATGCTCTAACCTTTGTCATGGCCCCCCTCCGGGGGCGGGGCGGATGGACGCGCGAATGATCGCGGCACAGCATGCGGCCACAGCCATCATGTCCTCACTCAAGTTGCAGTATGTTTTCCTCTCCCTCGGGCCCGACTTTGCTCGACTGGACCTGGCCCAGGAGATGGGCTTCGTGACTGGGGTCTGTCACCGGGTGGCTCTCCCCCGGTGGGGGGATTCCCCGGACGCTTGCTGCCCGGTGCCGCTCTCCGGCACGGAACACTTGCTGCTGGAGTCGGCCAAGTGCGTGCCTAGCCGTTGCATGACATGCTATCGCCCTCCCTCACTCCCTCCTTTCCCCCTCGCCATACCGTCACCCCTTTTCTGCCTCACGGGACCTGACCGCCATGTTGCCATTTGAACAGACCCTTGCTGGCGAATTACTTGACGCTCGAACGAGCTGAGACGCGAAATCTGCTGCTCCTGCTGGTTCGAGAGATGGGCAGCCCTTCGTCCGGCATTGCCGAGCCTGTCCTTCTGGCCGGGTCCATCACTCCAGTCAGGCCTCGTGAGGGGGAAGCCACCTCGGCCTTCGAGTACCTCCAGCGCCTCTACCGAGCGGCTGAGTCTCCCTATGCTTTTTGCTTCAGCGCGTGCGTGACTCTCTCCCTCTCTCTCTCTCTCTCTCTCTTGTTCTCGCTCTCTCGCTTTCTCTCTCCCTCTCTCTCTCGCTCTCTCCCGTTCTCTTTCTCCATGTCCCCCCTCACACACACCTTTTCCTTTTGGTCATCTCTTGCTGCCTTTCGCTGTTTGGGCCACCCCCTGTCCTTGCTGCTGATACGCCCATGTGCAGCTTCAACCACCTGAGCGAGTATGCGATGCAACGTCTCCGGCGCATCTCTTGTGGAGTGCAGATCTCCCAGACTCTTTCAGTTTTAAGCACGGCCCTTCTCGGTGCGTCCCCCCCCCCCTCCCCGGCTACCTGGGTCATTTCTGTTTCCCACCTGACCAATCTAACACCCGGGACTATGCGCCGGTGCCTGAAGCTACCCTCCTTCGTGCGATTCTCGAGGTCGAGGCATACACTCTCCCGCCATCGGCCTTCGCCCGGGCCACTCGGGGTCAGAGCTTCCCCGCCCTGGCCGGGCTGCCTCGACAGCATGTTCACACCGCCATCGAGGGGGGCTCATGCATCGGGCAGTACTTGGTCCCGCGGTTTTTGGTCCCAGCCGCGGAGCGGGTCCCGGTCGGCGGGCTCAACAGCCAGCTGGCCTCCATCGGCATGGTTTTGCAAGACGTGGCCGGGGGGCTTGGCACCGACATCGTGCATGGGTTTGCCTCGGCCAATGGCCAGCCAGCCGACATCGACTTCAGCCTGGTGGAGGCCGCATCGCGTAGCGGCCTGGATCAGAGCATGGCCTTCCTGCGGGCCTTCCGCCAGCATGCCGTGCCTCATATCACCCTTCCGGAAGCCCTGAAGGCTGCCTTTTCCGTGCGTGCCAATGGGTCACTGTGGCTCCCGGGACTTGCTCCCCTTTGCTGACCCACGAGCGCCTCTCATTCGTCTCTCCCTGTCTCTCTCTCTCTCTCCCATTCTCCTTCGCTTGCCCCAGGAACGCGAGTTCGACACCCTGGGTGCCTTGCTCCAAACATCCAACGACTTTGGCTCACCGGACCTTCGTCTCAAGAGCTGGATTTCCAAGATTCGCACCCTCCTGCCGAACTCCGATACCGACCTGGTACGTGCACTTAGCCACGCACATCGAGGGAGGACGAGAGACATGCTTACAGTTCCGGTCTTCCTTCTTCTCGGCTTCTCTCCGTCCCTGGCGCTTGGCGGCCATCCCTCTCACACACAACCACGTCCCATTCTGTCCGCCAGCTTCGGCGACTGCTGGCATCTTCCGAGGGATCGGCCTTCAGTGGTCCCACCAGTCGGCCAGAACTCTCGGCTATCATCGAAATCTGCGATTGGGCTGTCTTGCGCGCGCAGAATTCCGCCATTCTGGCAATTGTCATGCCGGTGCTGTCGGCGCTCTCCGGTTCGTGTCTCTCTCTCTCTCTCACACACACACACACACATGCGCATACATCTATATATAGCATCCCTTTCGACTCTCCCGCCGCTTTGGCCTCCCTGTCGGCCCCATCTCATGTGTGCTCACCGATGGTTTGGTATGGCCCTCGTAATTCGCGGGGGGGGGGTGGGTGGTCCTCTCTCATCCAAAGGCGTTCTGAAGGCCGGCAAGTGGCAGCCCGGTGGCGCGCTGTCGGGAGATGATGTGCCTGCTCCATCGGACCTGGTGACCAGTGCCGGGCAGCACCTCCTCCAGGTGCCCGACATGCTGGACCCCTATGATGCACCCTTCTTCAATGCCACCGAGGAAGGGGGTGATCTATTCGGTGTGCCCGATCCCCGCGAGGAGCAGGGCACTGTGACCGACAGCTTTGGTCAGGCTCGCGTTCCGGTGGAGGACAGCTGTCCTCGACCTGGTCGTCTGGCCATCCTCTCTTTCCGGGCTGATCTTCTTCGTGGACAGCTGGCTGCCGCGTCCTCTGCGCCCGGCAGCCTGACCGGTGCCAGTGCCGCGGAGGAAGATCCCGCCGCTCAGCCTGCCGATGCCGGGGACTATTTGGACGTTTGGATCAAGACGGTATGCTTGGCAGTGGCCGATGCCTGTCGGAATGCAGCCATCTTTTCACAAGTACGCACCCCAAGCCCGAGAGCGGCGCTGCCCC